TTATACAGTATATTTCATTACGCCTAGTCTTCCCTTAGGAATATGTATCTTTCTGCTTTAAACAGGGGATGTTGTGGCACAGGAACTAAAGTACCACCTTACCTGCTTGGTAACATTGTACAACCGAGAGCGAGCCCAATTGCATGCTCTAGAGAAACAGAAATACACTGAAGTGCTCAACAGGGAGAAAGCATATCCGATAGTTTTCTCTGAACTGGTCACTTACATCAACGAAACGAAGGTTGCCAGAGAAGATACATATCCAGCTAATTTTAGGCTCGCAGACCTGCTCAAATCGCTACAGGCAGCGATTTGAGCAGCTTGGAATTTATTCACCAAATGTAAATTCCACGAGGCTGAAGGACCAGTTACGTTTACATATTCCACAGCTGGAAGCTCACCGCGAAGGAAGCGATATACTGATAATCTTTCAGAAGGCTGTAGGGATCATTCTGGAAAGAGGCATGTAAATATAGTGAAGCCATTCACTTGACCAGAGCTGCAGAAATCATACGGAATGAGATGCTCTACCACAAGTCAACATTCACCAACACGTTTCATGATGGCTGCATTGAAGAGGCTGTTCTACCATCACTTCTTCAATTTGTATGCATGGACGAACATGGTGCAGATAATAAATCACAGCTCCGACATGGGGTGTGCAAATCTGACCTAGCTATGGCACAAATCTTGCAATATACTTGTTTTGGCAGATACAAGGAAGGATCACAGACCCACAGACACTCCAAGGATCGTGAGGCACCTTTTGCTGTGTATGAGGGCATGTCTGTTTTTGCTAAGACAAGGAAAAGGCTACTGATCGACGTGCTACATGGAAATGGATTCAGCATTTTATATGACAGAGTTCTAGAGATCTCGGCTCAGCTTGGGGAAGCAGTAGTAGCCCAGTAGGTGCAAGTTGGAGTCGTCTGTCCACCAATCTTGAGAAAACATTTGTTCATGACTGTGGCAGTGGATAATATTGACCATAATCCTACTGCAACTACAGCACAAACATCCTTTCATGGCACCTGTATTTCAGATTTCCAACATCTGAGCCCAAGTTATACTGGTGACAGGTGAGGAGCGCGAGCCACTCCAATATGGATAAAGAGCGGTTGATTTTAAATGGCCATCACGAGTCGCCATCTTGGATTTTCAAGTGGCCAATCAGGTAAATTTCAAAAGTGACCTGCAGAGAGTATTCAGACCAAATTTTATGCTTGTATCACCATTTGAAAGACAATTCAAGTTATCTGCTCAACTAATGAGGTGCTTCTCTGTTTGGGGTACCGTCACCAGACGGGTGCCTACGCTACGGTACTTCAGTTACCCAGAGAGATTAGAACGCCTGTAACTGCCTAGCTTATACCATCGGCGGGAAAGGGGTGACTTAATTGAAGTTTATAAGCTTCTCAGAGGGCACTACTCAGTCGAGTGTCCAAACCTGCAGTTGGCGGACGTCCGCCCCACTAGGGGTCACAACTCAAGGTTGAAAAAGCCACAAGTCTAGAAAATTGTGAGAGTAAACTTTTTCGGAGTGAGAATTGTAAACTCTTGGAACAATTTGCCAGAGTGTTTTGATGGCACCGAGTGTGAGCTCTTTCAAAAACAGACTTGTCCAACACTGGAGCAGGTTCAGATACATTCTGGAGTCAGTGCATGCTCAGTACTTGCCAATAGTGCGTAACAGACACGTGGCCGACCTCCCAAGCGGCAAACGAGCTGATCAGTGGCGAAGAGGATAAAAGTAAAAAGTAAGTAAAAGTAATACAAAACTGATGACACAAGAATTAAAAGTGCAGTATTCCCCTAGATTTGCATATCAAGGTGCTTGGTTCACTGATAGTGGGAAAATGGAAACTGTTTTGAAATTAAATGAGACTGGTAGTGAAATGACTTTGAATATTTTTGTTTTTGTGCAGCAAATACGGGATGCCCTTTGAGGGTGGTAATGTCGATAATATATACCTAGTTTTTGCCAAGGCTTTCTACAGCGCACCCCACGAAAGGCTGAAAATTAAACTGGAAGGGTATGGGATTCAGGGATGTGTCCTAGCGTGGATCGGAGACTTTCTCCAGGAACGCAAGCGGTGTGTGGGGATTAATGGCACGAAATCGCCATGTGTATCCGTGACAAGCGGGGAACCACAGGACAATGCATTGGGTCCACTGTTGTTTGTTTGCTTCATAAATGACATGCCAAAAGCTGTACATTCCTCCATACAAATGTTTGCGGATGATGCCAAGTTATTTCGGGAAATTAAGAACCAAGCAGACTGTGAGGAGCTGCAGAAGGATCTCCGGGAGCTTCAGGAATAGTCAACGAAATGGCTGCTAAGATTCAATGTCACTAAGTGTAAGAGGCTGCACCTGGGACGTACCAACGATAAGGAGGCCTATCATATGTCCCAACGGGACGAAGAAACTGCATTAATTGAGAATGAATGTGAAAAGGACATAGGTGTGTATGTTGACAATGAACTGAAGTTCTCGGGCCATTGTGAGAAGAAGGTGAATCAGGCAACTAAATTATAAGAAGGTCGTTCAGATATCTTCAAGAGTGAGTTGCTTCCCCGCCAGGAGTACTGTCATCCCGTCTGGTCTCTGAGGCAGGCTACGGCAACTCAGCTACCCGAGAGATTACAGCGCCTGAAATTGCTTAGCTTATACTGCAGACGGGCAAAGATGGACCTAATTGAGGTGTATAAACATCTCAAAGGGCACTACTCAGTTGAGTGCCCTTACTTAGAGCTGGCGGACGCTCGCCACACAAAGGGTCACAGCTCAAGGTTGAAGAAGCCGCAAGTCCAAAAAACTGTGAGGGCGAACTTTTTCGGAGTGAGAGTTATGAACTCTTGGAACAATCTGCCAGAGAGTGATGTGACAACACCGAATGTGAGCTGTTTCAAGACCAGACTTGACCAACACTGGAGCAGGTTCAGATACATTCAGGAGCCAGTGCATGCCCATTGCTTGCCAACAGTGCGTAAGAGGCGTGACCGATCGCCCAAGCGGCTAACGAGCCGATCAGTGATGAAGAGGATAAAAAAATAAATAAATAAAAGTAAATATATGTCAGGATTTCGACGCTGCAGTGACGTTATCCTCGCTATACAGTTCCGAAACTTGGCAAACAGATAACCCAAAGGGTGTAATTACTCAGTACAATAAATTAGTTATATGTCTGCTTGGTATCAGAAAGAGCACCAGTTTTTAACCTGTGCTCCATTCAGTCAGGAATTCCTCTAGTATAGGACCTTAAAGTGAGGAGAAGGCGGAGGTTCATACAGTACGTCAGATATAGATGAACCATTCGACGTTGTTTATGAACTGTGCAAATGAGAGAACACACCGGGTTACAGGTTCTTGAGGAAATCCCTACAGTTTGATTATACAGTTAACCGCCTTACAGAAAATAGTGAATGTAATCGGGAATAAGCCAGCTGGCGCAACAAAATACGTGATGTACAGGTCAGAATTGAACCGTCTTCTTTGTGGTACATAATGTTTTTTTGAGCCGACAGTTTTCCCAGACTACATTCGCGAGGCATTTACACGACTATGATTAATATTACATAACTTAAGAATAGAGACAGCCAGGTGGAGTTGGACGCCTGCTGAGTTAAGGTTATGTTCGTATAACCGGAACCAAGTGTAAACTGAAATGCAGATATTACTGGAGTGTTCTCTCTCGGCTCACTGTATAGCAGCAGTTATAATATGCTCAACTTTGCTGATATAGATGAACTCCTGAGTGAAATACATCATGTAACAGATCTGTCAGTTCGTCTATGATGCTTTGAATTTATTTAGATGGTATAATATTGTTTATGGATGAAATAAGAGTTTAGAAAAAGTTTTTAATAATGGTGCCACACTGCTAAAATTTAAAGTGCTGTAATTATAATTTTTGCTGGACGAATTGTAAAGTTATACTTCGTAATATTGTAACGTGTACTGGTGTGTTTTGGCAATAAATTAACTTATTAACTTTACTAATATTTGAAAGGTTTTATATGGCAAGGGTTGATGTACGGGTCAGAAGTATAGACACTTTCAGTGGACACCAGAAAGAGGTTAGAGGCCTTTGAAATGTTGTGTAATAAGCGAATACTAAGAATAAGCTACACTGACAGGTTAAAAAATGAAGAAGTACTGTACTAAGATTATCAAAAACTTCAAGAGAAATACTTGAAATGTACAGAAAAGAAAAATTAGATACTTTGGGCATATAATTAGGGGTGAGGGGATAATAGCAGAAATATTAATGGCCAAAGTTGAGGGTAGGAGGGCCAGGGGAAGGCAGAGACTGGGATGGATGAAAGAAATTATAAACTGGGTCCCCAGAGAGATACAAAACCTTGGAAGATTGGTAAAAAGAGCCTGAGAACGTTTGGGGTGCAGAACTGTGGGCGCCAACCCTCAGATATGAGGATGGTACTCTCGGGTTTGGTTCTTGATTACCTTTATTGGGGGTCAAAAAAAATTTTTCCTCCACCATTTTTGAGATATTCTTGATAAATTGAAGAAAATTTCTTCTATTTAAAAGTTTCTTAAATAGGTTCCTTAACCCAGGCACCTGTTCTTAAATATAATATTTTAAAAAATGTTCTGTAATATTTAGGTTAGATTTCGTTAGGCTTGTTTTTACCCCACAATTTCCCACTACTTCAAAGCCCTGCCCACTTAGCATTTTTAAACTGAAATCGAAAAAAAAATGGCAAAGAGTAAAGTAATGATTTTTTTCTCTATCTTCCTACATAAATCAAGATAGAATTCCGAGATTGCCTTTTCCTGAATATTTACTGTCTATGGTCAATAGTAATACCAAGGTGCACAATCTTGGGACCCATGTACTATGTGTGTAAAGTTTCAGGTCTCTAGCTGCTTCCTGTTTAGAGCTATGGTTGGAAAAGAAAGACAGGCAGATGCGTCTTTTCATTATTATGGACATATTAACAGAGAGAGGGCTTTTAAAAGCCAAACTAAAAAGAGGATCAAATAGACATGAGCGTGCTGTTCCAAATCTTGTAGGGCACAGCGCCATTGATGTCGTCGCCGGTGTAATAGTTCCAACACCCATATAAACGGTTGATACGTGCCACGTCAGTGGCACTGATTATTTGTCGCTGACCTAGAGTGCCAATAAGCCAATGTTTTACCGTCATTGTTGGGAGAGATTTATTGAGGGCGAAGGCGCCCTGGGGGAAGTGCATGAGGCTCATGTAGTCGTAAGGAAGACCCTGCGTCATGAGCAAGCCTAAGTTACCCTCGAGCTTCTTGTAACTACCACGATATTTTGGCTTTATATTTTTCTCATGGACATCGATGTACTTATCGCGGTAGAAGTGTCTTTGTTCTGGGTAGAGGCCAGCCACAAGCAACAGCTCGTGGATCAAGTGCCAGTTGGAGACACAACAGGAGGGAGCTATGACCATCAGCTGCTGGAGAGAGGAGCTGGGTAAGTACCCGATCGTATTGGAGCAAAATTTCTCCTCAGTGGGCATCACCACCAGTTGGTGATACGTATTGATCTTCTTAGACTCCATAAAGCGTAGGCAGGTGTGGTTGTTAACATATTGCATTGAATATCTCAGTAATTTTTTATGATCTTCAGGTAAAAGTGGGTTAGTCAAGTTGACGGGCACAGTCTTGTTCGGCCAGAGGTGTTTGGAGAGCTTCTTCACGCCCTGGTCGAGGATGTTATGCATGCCTGAAGTGGGTGCGACCTTGAGGCGTCTACCTGCCTCTACTACCAGGAGACCCGCCAAGACCCCGACCATTAACAACGAAAAAAAGGAGACTTTAAGAACCATTTTTATTACTTTTATTGGGCTAAATTTAAATTGTCTCATACCAAATTACGTTAATCATAATTTAGTTCATTCGTAGTTGGTTATTACGGGAAACGAACAGATGATGATTAGTATGCAAAATTTGTAGGAATAAAATCAAATAATGCGTCTCAAAGGAATACATCATAAAACAAGAATACAGAACACATATTTTGTATATATCTATCGTGTTGAGGAAAGAATTATGAAAAACGCTGGAACAAATTTCTCACTTCTTCGAAACTTATTTCCGAGTAGCCACCATAATTCTTACAAAATTGTTGCTGAGTCGTTGACACCCAGGCGGATATATGTTTGAGAAAGATTCTGTATGTGACAACTGATCTTGAGGAAGGAATCCCAATGATACGAGCAGACAAATTAGAACAGCGATTTATGTTTTTATACAGTAAAACAAAACAAAAACACACACAAAGATTAAAGAACATGTAAGGATAAGAAAAACACAAACATGTTCGTGTACTGTTAGTGAAACAAAACTGTAGCTGGTAGTTGTGCGACTGCCTATTTCGTTCATGGAGCGAAAAACCCTGCCCGTGCTACAGCAAGCGTGGAGTAAATTGCGTTTGGAACTGACAATTGTTCTGAAAAGTCACAACAAAGCATATCTCAACGATACTTTTATAAAACTGAACTAGATGAACATAAACTGAAGCTGTGGTAATCATTAACACATTTGTACACCTGGAATGAATGGAGACCCTGAACAACCCAGACGCTCCCTCACCGCGGCTCACCTCTACTACAGCCATGTTTAAAGGTCGATACTTATATATGGCAAATAAATTGTACACAGATACTGTATATGAGCAACATCACAAAACACATATACACAAACACTTGCAAATATGACCCACACGTACCAAAAAAACCGCACACAAATTATTACACATAAACACAGATAACACCAGGACACAGCATGAAAACAGAATATTAGGAAGTATTTACCCTTTCTCAGCCACAGAAGGTCGACTATTGGAGCGACATAAGTTGAGATTTTTTTTATACGTGAGTGTGTGTGTGTGTGTTGAATTATGAGACGAGAGGCAGTAAAAGATAAGCAATCCGGAGAGAGATATGATATTGTCAGCGACAGGGAGGGAGGGAGGGAGTGAGGGAGGGAGGTCCATGATGTAGATTAAGTCTAGTTTAACTTTTTAAGGTCTGGTGATGTGGAGGAGCATGGAGAAGAGAATAAGTTCTTAAACGAGATAAATTGGGAGTGGATATATCTGGTGAAGGTAAGGTAGCAAAGGGCGAGGGACACGGGGGCTGGAGAACGTGCTTAGAGGTGATTCGTCATGATGAAATCAGCGGAAATGGATCCAGGAATATGATAAACAGAGGGCGTTAGAGAGAGACAAACACAGAAGGCCTTCCTGTCAACAGATATCATTATCATGAAGGAACGTCAGAGAGGAAATATACCATGGAATTTATGGGCGATGTTGCCTGATGTGTACCTGGTGTTGTGTTGTGTTGAGAGAGAGAGAGAGAGAGAGAGAGAGAGAGAGAGAGAGAGAGAGAGAGAGACTCCAGGACAACACACAGGAGCCCCATATGAAACCGGAATACGAATTATGGGGATGGTAACTATCAGCAGCGCCCACTACAGCAGGGAGATACTGACGGCCTTACTGTTATGTTCAAGGCTAATATACTCCAAGATTCTCCCATCTGGCCACACTCCAGGTGCGTACTGTACCTCCAGATGACGGAGCTTGAGGCACAAGCAGTTCCACCTTAGGGAGATTCAACATAACTGAACCGTTCTAAATAACATCACTTCAATAGTGGTCTTTCATTCCTCGCATTGCCCGGGTCTGGCACTAGTTAATGATGACATACAATCAGTGAAAAGGTTACATCCAGAGGCCAGTTGTAACCTCTGTCTCTACTTTATCCTCTTCGCTACTGATCGGCTAGTTAGCGGCTTGGGCACTCTCTCTCTCTCTCTCTCTCTCTCTCTCTCTCTCTCTCTCTCTCTCTCTCTCTCTCTCTCTCTCTCTCTCTCTCTCTCTCTCTCTCTATATATATATATATATATATATATATATATATTTATATATATATATATATATATATATATATATATATATATATATATATATATATATATATATATATATATATATATATATATATATATATATATTGATAAAATCATACAGGGAAAAGAAACAATGGAGCACCTTAGCTTTCGTCCGAAGATGTCTTGAATAAAGACGAAAGCTAAGGTGCTGATTTTATTACAATTATCTTATCCACGTTTTCATTGTGGATCTACATGATATATATATATATATATATATATATATATATATATATATATATATATATATATATATATATACAATACTACCTTACAAGTCGAACCCTGGACCTCTGCGTGTGAACAGGGATCACTACCACCGCGCCACAAGGACAACAAAAACAATCCTAGGCTTTGTTATATTTCAAACAAATCCTGTTCATCGTGCTTGTTAAGCACCGTGAACCTCCACTGGGGATTGTCTGTGCCAACTATGTGGTCGGAGTAGAATTTTACCGAATCCAGCTAGGAAACACGACTACACACACACACACACACACACACTATATATATATATATATATATATATATATATATATATATATATATATATATATATATATATGATATATATGATAGGAAGAAACACAAAAGTTTTCAAGCCTTTCGTGTAATTCACATCTTCAGGGGTGAGTACAAGACTATACAGTACCTGAAGATGTGAATTACAACATGAAGACTTTATATATATATATATATATATATATATATATATATATATATATATGTTATGAAGCTGGATATAGTGGATGTATAGAACAATTTACCATACATCATCATTAACTCGAACACGCTGGATAGCATCAAATATAGGTTGGATGGATATATGAGCGATATATGAGCGAGTAAGCATTAGCGGCACTAAATCCGATTGGGGTAACGTCACTATTGGAGTACCCCAAGGCTCAGTACTTGGACCATTATTATTTATTATATACATAAACGACGTAGATAAAGGCGTAAACAGCAACATAAATAAATTTACTGAAGACACTAAAATTGGGCGTGTAATTAAATCTGTCGAGGACTTCGCAAAACTACAGGAAGATCTGAAATTTTTTTTCGAAGGTCTGAAAACTGGCAGATGAAATTTAATGTGGACAAATGTAAAGTACCAGGTCTAGGAAATGTAAACAGAGAAATCAAATATCAGATGAACAACTTTGTTATAGAGAAATCCGACCGCGAGAAAGATTTAGGAGTAACGATAAGTAGGAATCTTAAACCAAGACAACAATGTGTATTTGCTCGAAACAAGGCGAACAAAGTATTTGGGTTCATACAAAGGAGTATTAGTTACAAGACTAGCGAGGTTATCCTAACGCTATATCTTGCGCTTGTGAGACCTCACTTGGATTATGCAGTTCAGTTCCGGTCACCGTACTACAGAATGGATATCGAATCCCTAGAAAGAATTCAGAGGAGAATAACAAGACTGATCCCGGGAATTAGGAACCTTGAGTACAGAGACAGGTTAAAGCATCTTAATTTGCACTCCCTCGAGAGACGTAGAGTGAGAGGCGATATGATCGAGGTGTATAAATGGAAATCAGGGCGAAACAAAGGTGATATAACAAAGGTACACAAACTATCCAACCAGGAGCGAACTCGTAACAATGGTTTTAAATTAGACAAATTTAGATTTAGGTGCGAGATAGTTAAACATTGGTTTGGAAATAGGCCCGGTGCAGTTTCCTCCATTCTTATGTTCTTAGAACAAGCTTATAAAACCAACTGGTGTCAGTTCACCGATCCGTGTTTGGCTGCTGCCCGACCACTGCTGGTGTGCACCCCGTTACTCGATCTTCCGACGCGACGTTCCTGACCTTGAGTCATGGATCGTGGGTTCATGGGATGGTCCATAGCTTGCTCTCATGGTTAGGTATTCCGGAGCCAGGTATCTGTGTTGTTCAGATCTCGAATGTAGGTGTAATGTAGTAGTAGAGCATTCCTGGACGGACGAGGGTGTGGAGCTGGTGGGCGCTGATCGGTAGAGCCGGTTGTGGTTGATAACAAATTATGTTGCTCTGGCTTAGGATGCAATGTAAATTTGTAATATTTATATACCTTTGGATGTGGTAGGATTGTGGTGATTGTTAGTGCATCGTTGGATATTTATGTAACTATGTATGTTGTATAAGTGTGGCGATTGTTAATGTTCAATTATTGTTGGTTGTTGAGGTTTCTTGTTAATATATTGTACATTCCAACATCGCCTTTACTACCCCTCTCCTATAGTAATATACAAGTGAACGTGGGCCCTTCGTGCCAGGTGAAAGTTTGAAAGCTCGTGCTTGGTTAGTGCGCAACCGCCGTCCGGCTGACAGCGTACAGCAACAAAATGGTTAATTAATGCCTTCCTAAAGAAACCATCGACATGGGACCAGGTTTGTTCCACTCTACGAATTTTTTTGCGATTTTTCCACCAAGTTTGAAAAAAAACGATTGTGCCGTTTCGGCTGGCAAGAACAGACACACACACAGACACACGGCTATTCCTATAGTATAAGAGATAATCATGGTCCTGGTTGTTGTAATCATGATCTTGGCTGTTATAATCATGGTCGTGGTTGTTGTAATCATGATCGTGGTTGTTATAATCATGGTCGTGGTTGTTATAATCATGGTCGTGGATGTTATAATCATGGTCGTGGTTGTTATAATCATGGTCGTGGATGTTATAATCATGGTCGTGGGTGTTATAATCATAGTCGTGGTTGTTATAATCATGGTCGTGGTTGTTATAATCATGGTCATTAGATTT